ACCCCTGCATAAATCTCCAGCCTCACCTCTCCGTGTGCTTGAGACCCACCCACCTTGTGAAAGTCCAACGGGAGACAACAAGACAACGATAGCTCTAGCCTAATAGAGGCACGCCTCCCCCGCCGGCTAGTTGCCCAGTTTGGTTGTCCCAGCGAGCACTGATCTAGCACTAAATATATGGCCACAGGCCCTTGTGGTTTAGGTCCCAAGAGGAGCGGAGCCGCCCCGGCCCGGACCAGGCTCCTTCCACACTGCTAGAGCGCGCTGGTCAGAGAATGGGCTTCGAGGTCCCCGGGAATAACAACGAACAAACCAACTCTACAACAGACACCCCCGCCGTGACCCCTCGCGACGTGATCGAAGTTTTGTCGTCTTCCCTTTCCCCAGGGAGCCCCCTCCCGCCGCTGCGACCCGGGCGCAAGCGCGCCTTGGTTGGAGGGAGCTCCGCTGGCGCAAATAAACAGCAGAGGACCCCCAGCACCACCTCCCACCGCCCACCCCGCCCCAGGAGGGCAGTTGCCGGGACCGAGAGGTGGGCTTCGTCGCCCTCCGCAGGCTCAGCCCTGCCTGCAGCAGTAGGATCCCCCAAAGGGTCCTGAAGCCGCGGAGGAAAGCGCGAAGCCGCTAGTCCCAACGCCTGAGTGCGGAGCTGGTCCTGCCGCCCGGCTCCGAGGCTCTCCGGCGCCGCCGCCAGCCGCCCCTCCTCCCGCCGCCCGCACAAATCAAAGCCCCTTGCGAGGGACTGGGAAATAGTTGCCTTGTCATGTAACACATTGCCCTGATTTATTATAAAATTTTAACGAAATCATGCATATTTTAACAGCCTTTAATCACTGCATGAAAATTTAATTCATGGACTGTAGCGCGTTTAAATAAATGAAGTGTTAATTCATTAGGATTAATTAATTTGTTAAAGGATTGTGAGCAAGGTTAAGGTGGAAAGAAAACTCTTTGTTGGTTTGGCGTCTTAATCGCCAGGTTCGTGAGTGGTAATAAAATGAAAAGAAACCGCAGAGTCAGACGTTTCTTCCGGTGGGGGCTGGGCGGGACCAACGGAGAGCCCCCTCGAAAATGCTGGAAACTCCGGCCGGAGGGGCACCGGGCGGGTCTCGGCTCCGGGCAGGCTAGTGGGGCGGAGGAGGGGAGCGGCGCTGGCCGCGGGAGTCCGGGAAGGCTGGGTCCGCTGGAACCTTAGGGAAGAAAAGCAGCTCAGAGCCCCGGCCGGCGGGCCAGACCTCACCCGCTCTCCCCAACCCCCACCCCAGCACAAAGATGACCCTGTGAGTGAGGCAGGTCGTGCCTTCCGGCCTCCTGAGCGCCAAGCCCCAGCTTAATGGACAGATGATGGGCCGGTCTTGCCACCTCCCGATCCCTCCAGCGCCCAGGGAGTCACTGTCTCGCCATCAGGCCGCCGGCTCTAGCAGCGAGGGCGAGCCGGGAGTCCCAGGGGATGCTCAGAGAGCGGAGGCGGGGCAAAGAAACTTGCAAGCTCAGGCTGGAGCATCTGGAAACCTTTTCCAACCTGGAATCCTGACCTTAGGGAATGGTTCCTTCTGCACCTCTTCTAAGAGTAGCATGAACAGGCGCCCCATCCAGCACAGCGAACACGCAAAAGAGATGTCCTCTTCTGCACTGAACTCTCGTTCCCCATGCTTCTACACACTTGGTTAATCCAACAAACATTTATTAGTGGAGGTCTGCTCCCTGTTAAAACACAGCAGACCTAGAAATCTATTGTCTGTCAAGAAGTGGAGCTTCATAGACTGTCTCTCATATAAAACTGAAAATCACCCTAGCCTGAGTTCCAGCTGAATTCTTAAAAGAAATCTGCATTTAATAGATGCTTCCTCACTCAGAGTGGGGTTCCGAGAATTAGGCAATAAATGTTCACTATGCACTCTGAGATCATTGCTTAAAAGGTTTCCTCTCTGCCAAGTATTATTAGAAGGATCAGGTTACCTCATGATAGGCAGAGGCTGGGTTTTAGGACTCCCACAAATAGGAATGAAAGACCTTCTTAGGAGGCTTTGGGAAACCCTTCTAATCTAATAGGCCACATTCAATAAAGTTAAACTGTTAATCTCAGTTCCATGTTCTCTACAACATCAATAACAGGGACAAAAGCAAGAGGGAAAAAAAAAAATCCAGTGCATGTATTATTGTGAAAACCTGAAACCATTTACGTATGTGGAAACAAGTTCCTGAAGCATCTTAGGGTTCAAGACCAAAGTTCTTCCCTTGTTCAGTGTTAGCTTTCGTTGTTTCGAACCGACGTAAATACAGAAGTGATGACGGGAAAACAAAGCAAATTTGAAATTAAGGGGCTATAAATCTTAAAGTCTATCATTTGAACTTTGGTCTCGATCCATTAAAACAGTAGAGAGACTTGTTTTGGACTGGATGAAGACTTTAAAAATTAGATGAATAATGGGCATGTCAAAAAAATTTAGCATGTCACATTGTCTTCAGCCATAGCATTTTAGAAAGATGAGCAGTCAACAGATGCTGTTTTTATTTATAAAGACATGAACTGGTGTCTGCTTCCTTTATCACCAGTGCATCTTTTGCTAACATAGCCTTAGTGCTATTTTTAAATCCATCTAAATGTCAGTTAATGTGAATGCTTATAAAAAGTGGCACACACACTCCCATCACTGAGCTTCCATTCAGTAATTAAATACTACTTGAAAAAGAAACATGCTAATATTTCCAAAATATGTTTAAAAGAATCCTTGGAAATTTCATATCCATTCATTCAAATGTGGACTCTCATGCATAAAATAGAAAGAGGCCCAGGTCCAAAATTGTTCTATCCCATTCCAGCTGCTTGTGTGATGACAAATCCTCAATGCACTCATTTGTGAGCTGGGGATAATATTTGGCTCTTAGAATCCGAAGAGAGTTATGAGAGAGAGGTTAGCAAAGTACTTGGTTTCAGTAAAAGACTTTTTTTTTTAGTGTGTGTATATAAAAGATGTATTTTAAGAAGTGAGAACACTGTATTTGTCATTATATAGATCATGCTAAAGAAAACAAGTGGGAATGTGTGATTAAAATCCTGCACAGATTATTCCCTTCAACTGAGAAATTTGCAGGTTTGATTAATTTAATTTACAAAGTACTATTTTGGGGAGGGTGGAGCAGTGTTTCTGAAGCAGCTGGGAAATACTCTGGTCCCATATAGACCCTCTCACCCCAGAGAGGCATTAGCAAATCAGGGTACACACTGGACTCCATGGCATAGTGTATATTTGGATTAAAAACACATTCATGGTACAGAAGAGTTATAGACAGAATAAAAAGCTTACCTCCAAATTTATTCTATTCAGAAAAAAATTGAGATTTCTAGATTTAATAAAATTTCAAATGTATAATGTTGTCAAAGATATTTAAACTGCTAATATCTCTGAAAGTACCCATTAGCTTTTAACATATCAGAAAGAGAAATAGATGCACAAATACTTATTGAAAAATATGTATAAAGAAACAAAAAAAAATTTTGTGTTTTTTAAAAATTTTATTTTGGCTTTAATAGTAGAGGGCATGATTCTCCAAAAAATAAAAATGATGTTATATTTTTATGGTTTTCCTGAATCCTTCAAGTCTATTATAACAGGGATCAGCAAATTTTTCTGTATTTTAGGTTTTGTGAGACATACGGTCTGTTGCAGCTATTTAGCTCTGCCACTGCAGTGCAAAAGCAGCCACAGACACTATGTAAACAAATATGTAGCTGTATTCTAATAAGACTATTCAGAAACAATGAAGTTTGCATTACTTCTCATTTTCCTGTGTTATGAAATATTCCTAGTATTATTTAAAACCATTAAAAAGTGTATAGACCCATTTTTTAGTTCATAGGTCATTCACCAAAACAGGCACAGGCCTACTTTTTGGTCCATGAGTCATAGTTTGTCAGCTCTTATTAGATCAATTAAAAATGGTATGTTTGGTCTTCACAGGCTAATTCAACGTCTGAGACATCAAGGATTACAGTGCTTATGACATCCTTTATTCAATTCACACAGAAAAGCATGCAGTATTAATGTAAAACAGTATGGTATTAATGTAAAATGTTCAGTGCACATTAGCTAAACAAGTCATTAGCATACAAACCATTTTTAAAAGCCTATATAGGCATACCAAACACATATTTGGTATAAACATACTTTTTTTCAGGGTGTAAATTAAAAATTGTGCTTAGCTTACCTATTCTTACCCCAGTAGTCTTCATGAAAAAAAAATTTGCCCTACATAGAAGATATTCTATTATCCAATTGAAACTTCTTTTTAGTAAGAAAAACAGTGCAAGCAAGAATGCTATCATGCATAGAGTTTTTACAAAGAACAGCAACATGCAAACAAGAATTCGATCACTCCAAAAAGGCTTCCCTGGCAGACCCACACAAGTGGATCAAGAACTTGTGAGTGAGTGCCTTTGTATATCTGGAACATGTATATCCAGAATGATTAAGCTACCATGTTTAGGCTCTTCCAAACCCAACATGCTCCACGTCTTCTTTCCAAAGTAGAGTCAATTTTTGATTTTTCACTACACACACAAAAAAAGAGCAAATGGAAGTTATCTGACATAAAACAATGTTTTCATATAGAAATGTATTCTTTCATAACAGCAAAAATGTTTTTTTACAAAAACTGAGCAAAATAGAACATTAAAAATGCAAACATACACATAAAACCAAAGAAGCAGCGAATATTGGCCTAAGGTTACAGTCCTGTATCTCCATGATGGCCTTGCATGCAAGTTAGATCACTACTCGACATAAATAAAAGGGGGCAGACAAAATAATGTCCACCCTAGGAATAGCTTTAAAGAAACTCTAGCATGTTATGGGCAGTGTGCAGACAACACTTACAGTGTTATTTAAGGAATCCTAGTTCTGAAGACAACTGAGGCTCATTACTATCTAATAGTTATTGAATAAATCAAGATTCAAAACAAAATCTATCTGAACCAGATACATATAGTATTCATTGAAAAGAAACCCTCTGCCTGTCTTCTGGTCAAAAAGATTCCCAAATGAAAATGCAATAGAACAAACTCTTCAGAATAAACAAAAGTATTCTGGATACACTGGAAGGGGTGTCCAACCTTTTGGTGTCTCAGGGCCACACTGGAAGAAGAGTTGTCTTGGGCCATACATTAAACACAAAAACACTAATGAAAACTGAATGAGCAAAAAGAGGTCTTAAGTAAATTTATGATTTTGTGTTGGGGCGCATTCACAGCCATCCTGGGCTGCACGCAGCCCACAGGCTGCGGGTTGGACACTCCTGGCCAGTGCAGGCTAATCCACCATATTCTCCCTTGACACTTGACTAAAGATTATCAACTCAAGATCGTACAGAACTTTTATAAGGGGAAAAAAGTAACTTTAAACATTTATACTCTGCTCAGGACAAAAACATAAATGACACCTTTCTACTGAGTCAACTTTTAGTTGCTTTTGATGGGCTGGCATTGGAAAGGCTGCTCTGGATTTTTCTTTTTGTTGATTGATTCACATTTTTGTTTCTCTTTTCAGGCACAAAAGAAGTAGACCAAGGAGACTGCAGGTGGTTATGAAGACCATGCATCTCTGTGGACATTTTAAACAAAGATGACCCAAACCTTTGATCTTCAAATAGCTGATGTGAACTGCTTAACAGAACACCTTGGGAAAACTCAGTCTGAAACAAACAGCTTGGGGGTTTGATTTCATTAGTTCCTGAGTTAGAACTAGGATGGAGTGAAAAATCTTCACTCATTTCTTGGTCAGGTGGAGAGAGGAGGAAAAAGGAAGAGGGTTTCCACTCATTTCCATTTTCTAACTGATCAGTAGCCAGAGAACCTTTGGAAAGGTTTGGCTTAGTTCTTTCGTCCACTTTATCTGGTTCCTCGAGAAATTCGCTGCCTTGAGATGACTTTGATAACCCATCCAAATCCAGTGACTTAAAACCGTTATTACAAGGGCTCTTGCTATTGTCTGACTCAGACATCATTGAATCCAGCTCAGAGATTTTGTCAAGGTAAGCTGCGTCCATTGAGGCTTCGCTGGATGTTCTTGTCCGATTGATTTCAAAAGAGCGAAGAGAATTCAGCCTCTTGGATAAACATGAGCCTGATTTCTCACTCAGTTTTGAAGAAATTTCTCCAACAGAATGTGCAATCGAGTTCCCCTCTGAGCTTTCGAAATCCAAGCTTCGGGCATAGCTTGTGGAACAACAATCCCAAAACCCTGTCTTTGGGGAAGTAAAACACTCTGATTTCTTTTCGTTTTCACTTTTATCATCTTCTGAAAAATCTTTACTACAGACATTTGGAGAATCACAAAAATCGTCAAACACCAATTTTCGGAGATGGTTTGAGTGCTTTTTGGAACCTCCTGCTTTGACTATAGAGCTCTCTCTATTTTCTGGAGTATTGAGCTGAAGGCAACTGAGGGACAAAGGAGTACAAGGAGCTGGAAGGTCATAAAGTTCATCTTTGTAGGGCGCACAGTCACTTGGCTTACCACCCCATTCTCTTTCCAAATAAGTATCCATACTTGTGTCTGTCACGCCTAACATTTCTACCTGCTTTTGATATAGGTCTTTGTTCTTAGAACATTTTAGTTCTGTTTTGCTGGTGCTTTCCTGCCGGGCAGAACTATTAGAAGGCTGTGCCAGGTGAGAACTTGAGGCCGATGGGCCCAGTGGCTTTCTGGCACCATCACCTTGATTTTTTGACGGTATATCCTCCTCGCTGCCTTTGTTCCCCTTGCCATCTGTAGAAAGTGCTCTCTGGCAAATGGAATTCATAGCTTCTTTCTCTTCACTTGAATTTTTTAGCTGTGCAATTTGAGATTCTAGTTCCTCTATATACTTATCACTTCGTTCCAGGGCTTTCTTGAGGCGATTGGTTTCACGTTCGTACTGTTCTACTTTGGACTGAAGAGCAGCTACTGTAAACCTTCCGAACCTGCAAGGAATGGGAGAATAGTTAACCTAACAGTTCAAGCTTTTTTCTTTCCTTTCCAAAGTTTAAGAATTGCAATTTCAGCCTTCTCTAATTTCACTGAAGTGTTATTTCAGACTGCTCAGTAAAGGGGACAAAAGCAATGCCAGATGTAGCAACTTCAAAAAAAAAGGGGGGGGGGTTCTTACTTATTTAATAATAAACACATGATAATAATGACAAAGGATCTAATAGAATACTTTTGTGGCCAAATCAGACCAGTGGTACCAGAGAGGCAGAAACTTGCTGAAGATTTCCCTTCTAAGAGCTAGCTCTATCAATTCAGCTCGTATATGCATGAAGAGTTATCCCCTAAAAAAATGGCGAAGATTTATGATAACATTTGAACAGTGGTCCACATCTTGAAATATTTACATTCAATCATTTTCCTATCGTACAGCAGTGTTTTATAATACATTTCTTATACAATGTCACCTTGTCAAACATAAAATGCCAATTTGAAATTCAGAAATCTTAGCAGTTGCAGCAGGGATGGTTTTAAATACTTATTTGGACCCTTTCAATTATAGCCCTTCTTGATCTGAAGCTTTTACTTGGCCTTTCTGAACACTGGGCTTTAATTCATTTCAGTTCTACTTATTTTTGGCATTTTACAATTATGTGAAACATCAATCTCGTTTCCTCCAACTTTGAAATATAAAGTCAGTGCTTGTGGTTCCAATATATTACGCATAAAAACATTTTCACATTTTCTGAAAAGGAACATTTTGGAGAGTAGCTGAAAAAGAACACATCAAAAATTCACTCCTTTTACTTGGAATTATCTTGTTTTCAATATTTCCTTAAGAATGGGTATTGGGTTCAGCTCAGAAAACAACTTTTGAGTACCTAGTGTGGGCTGGCGGAGTATTTGGAGCTGGGGATACAAAGATCGACGGACTCTTCCGGCTTTAAGGGACGTAAAATGTCTCCCTTACATTCCATCTGGCCACCAAAGAAAATTTTATCTTCAGAAAACTGCTTCTATGAGCCAATAAGCTTAAGCCTTGCATTCTAAACCCATAAAAAATAACTTCTCTCCACAAAAGTCCTTTTCTTAATCATTGCTTTGGTTAATTAAATGTTACTCCATGAAGAATTCAGAGGTTGTTTCTTTGAGGGATGGTTCTTGAGAAGGTGACTTCTTGAAATTGTTTTTACCTCTGGGTCTATCTTTTTCTTTCTTTTTGCCCTAATAACAAAAATAACTACAATTAATAAAATATACTAAGTATTTAAAAAAAAAACTACCAAAGGGAAGGAACCAGTAGTAACTGCACCTCTTGGTCACTACTACATGTTCTGTGACCCTCACTCAACGCCTATCACCTCCTCCTAAACTGTAGCTCAATTCACTCTCCAGCTCACCCTCAAAATGATCGTGGCTCTTACCACTAAAGGAAAAAGGCAGGGGCAAAAGTAAGTATAGAGTCACAAAATCTCAAGGTTCGAAAGGGCCTTAAAAAACTTGTTGCTGAATATTGATCTACTCTCTGCAATTAACTGAACTCTCAGAGCATACTCCTTTCAACCTCTAAAAAGTAAAGTAAAAAGTAAAACACCATAGGTATAGCAAAAACAAAAGCAACCACAATAACAAGCCTGTTTCAAAGGCAAAATTTACTACTATGACTATGAGTATTTGGTTAAATGAAAAGAATACTATTTTAGTTTATAAGTTGTATTTAAAAGAAAATTTTAAAAAGTGGGCAAAGCTCTTTAGTGAGTTCAGTAAAAAATTTAAGTTCTTGATTGTAATTACTCTGGCATAATAAAAAAATCCACGTATTTTTAAATGGAAAAACTGTGTAGCAGCTTATTTAATGCATATAGCGAAAGTGACAGCCTTAAATTTGCTTACCAAGATAAAATGTTTTTTCTTAAGTGTGATTTTTATCCTCAGATGACACATATCAAACAATTTAAAATCAGGCAATGTTACTTAGAAAGTAGGTCTGTTACCATAGGGAACTCAGAAGCTTACATAAGAAAAGATTAGTGACAAACAAGGAACATTTCTCAAAATATTAGCAGCTTATTATTTCAGGCTTTAGCCTAGAATTTCAAACATAATGTCATTGTAAGATGCTATATTTACCCCTATGTGTTTTTTAAAGAAATTTAAAAATGGTTCTGGGTTGAAGTCAAAATGATGGCCCTAACTATATTTTTTTGTGTTACTTCCAAAAGAAAGCTGAAGTGTCATGAGAACTAACGAGAGAGGACAGCAACGGGCGCATATGAGAACCAGCAGGCAGAAGTCGCTGATGGAGCTGGCTGTTGTCGAAAAGGTCATTGTCCTCAAGTCCCCAAAATTCCATTTCAATACTTTACAAGTCTATCATACTTTGAGTGATCAGTTTTACCATGCTACTAAGGGACAAATGAACAGGAATGCACAGTGATAGCCATGGAACTGATCAGTTAATTAATTGGTCTGTGTAATTTATTTGTTTGCTGTCTCTCTCTTCCCCATTAGAGTATAAGCTCCAAGAAAGCAAGGCGTCCAACCATCTTATATTTACTGCTAGCTCCCTAAAACAACTCCTGGTACACAGTAATCTCTCATTAAATATTTCATGAATGAATGTTACTTTTTTCTTATTCTAAAGTACATCAATGCTTTAAGAAAAGAAAAGAAAAAGAAAAAAAAAGACAGGGCCAACACCACAGGATAAGCCAAAGGTCTTTGGACCTCTTTTACATGTATTATGAGTCACTGTATTACCAAACTAAATGTTCCATACATTTGACCGCTATTTTTTTTAACTGACAGCAAGGAAAGCAACCAAGTATGACATATACATAATATGCATACACATATACATAATAGTTCTTTTTCACTTCACACCTGCCATTCTACAATGCTCCATCCAAAACAAAACAAAACAAAACAAAACAAAACACCTTCCACTTTCACCTTAGCAAGAGAATGCAAATAGATGAGACTCCTGATATAGGTAGCAGGGATTTTTTGCTTACCCTAGATGTCTATATTAAATTTGGCAAAGAACAATCTACTTCATCATATAGAAAAAAACAACTAGGAATGCATATATGATGCTAAACTCACAAGGAAAAAGACGATGTGGAAAAGAGCTTATTTAACTTTGGGTTTTAATACTCTCTTCTTCACACTAATTCCAGATACTATTTCCAGAGTACATGTCAGTAAATGAATCAATGCCAAGGCAAGCCGGAGGGATTTCTAACATCATTTACCATACTTCCTTTTCCTGAGCAAATTTCAAAATGGAGTATTTTCATAAACATTCCATTAGAGACCAAAAGGCTTTGATTTCCCAAGTAGCAATGATGGCCAAAGGCTTCATTATGTTAGAGAAAACATCGCAGAGCAATGCGGGAGCTGCAACTGATATCACAATCCAGGGGAAGCGTAAAGGATTTTTCTTCTTGCAATGTTCACTGATGTGTACATTCTGGTTGAGGGCTCCCTTGTTCAGTAAGATACTGAAGTTCAAGATTGTTCCTGTCCCTTCTAGAAGTAAGAGAAATGAAAGACCTATTGGTTTCACCTTTGAGGCACTGTGACTATTTTAAGGGCATCTCCAACAAAGGGAAGTTCCCAAGACCACACTTACTTACCGCCCATCACACAGGTGGAACAAAATTATGTTTGAAGGGGGTCAGAAGAAAGCAAATGTAAAAGAATAGATGCCAGAATGAATCAAAAGAACTAATCCCTCATGCTATGTTGCCATTAATTACTTGTGAAAACAAGTAATTTGTTTTGCCTCTCTAGTACTTAAAGGCATCCCCAGCAAAAGGGAAAACGCAGCAGGCGCAGCAGGTTGCTGAGAACACCAAACTTCAGAACCATCCTCCCAAGGAGAGAGGGGGGCACTGCCTCCCTTGCATCTTTGATTGCGTATCTTGTCTCACCTGCTAGCTAAAGTGACTGAGAAACAAAGGGAAAGCAATCTTTGGATCTGGACCAGCTTTTGTGATCTAGCCTTATAGATTTTCAATGTTGATGTCCTTGCTCGACACAGTTCTCATATGCACAAATTTCAGTTAGCACAGTTTGATTAAATAACACTAGTCACTTAACAACATGGTTAAGTGACTGCTAACTTTCCAGTTCACAAAACACTACATAAATAAGAGATGTGTATTACGATCAGTGACCAGTCAGATCCCTTCTTTAAAAGTCTGAAAGTGATTGGTCCCTGTTATCTGTTATTCAGTTCACATGTGGACAGTAGAACATGTAGCTGTGCTGCCACATAACACTTTACAGAAATGGATAATCAAAAGACAAAATTAGCCTGCAAAGTTGAAGGCGCAGCAAAGGAAGGAAAAGTCGGTAATGCCAGAAGTGAAATTAGAATCAAATGTAATGTAGTTATAGAAGAACAGCTGATCATGGGAACGTTGAAACCGTCACCATCTGAGAGCCCCTAGATATGCTGGAGAAACTTGGGAGAGGCAAATTTACTGACATAAATGAGAAGAGTGGTTGTGACAAAAAGGACAAAGATATCTAGAGGAAGTGACAAGCTGGTAAAAAAACTTCACAGTAAAGCAATGTGGAGATATTTCCCGAAAATGAAAGCATGAAGGATACAATGCCGAGAGCTATGCAAACTTGGGAGTATGACAGTTCATTAAGGCATTAGAGAAGATGCGAGCATCGTATGTAAGTTATACAATAAGGAGGCAAGCACTATTCAGATTATTCTCCATAATTTTTTTATAAAGAAATAAAACATGGCCCTGACTGGGTAGCACCGTTGGTTAGAGACCATCCTGATACGCCACAATTGTGGGTTCAAACTCTGGTCAGGGCAGGAATCAACCAATGACTGCATAAGCAAGTGGAACAACAAATTGATGTTTCTCTGCCCCACCTCCCTAAAATCAATATAACAGTTTTTTAAAAAACCACTTTAATTCTCAATGTTTCTAATGTTTTAAACTGTACTATATAAACATTTGCTTAC